CACACAGACACACACGTTTCACAGCAGCGCAGTACTTATGCATATAAATGGGCTTTTATGAGCATCAAAATATAACGGGATGAATTTCCCCTGACATACGAAATTGGTTTTGCTTTTGTGAGCAATTTGTATCACTCAAACGAACCCCCTCGAACGCAGCGCATCCTGCCTTTTGTCTTCGTCTCCGCCACAAAGTCGCACGCAGGTACAAACACGCTGCCACGCAGCCCATGAAAGATGATGGTGACTATAGCAGCAGATGGGCACTTTATGAGGTTTTCACCTCGGTGAAACTTCACAAAGCAAAAACAAAAAAAGCTTTTTTAGGCTCTTTTGTGCTTGTACCCACAGCCAGGCCCACACCCACACATGCACACACATGCACACACACACATGCACATGCACACACATGCACACACATGCACACACATGCACACACACACACAGTGAGTGTCAGGCGTAACGCAGACGCCATCCATTCAGACTGGAAACAGCGTTCTTTGTCTCCTGTTTTAACTCTTCTATTGCTGTATGTTAGCATGATGTGTCTGAACTCTGATGCTGATTGATTCTCGTCCCTTTAGGTTTCCCCAGTTTTAGGCATCACTGCAAGCGTTCTCATCCTGCTCCTTGTCCCTGACCCAAAGAGAGGGAGCGCCGATCAGCTGGGAGGTCGCATCAGGAGCCGCACCTCCTGGTTGTGTGACATGAAAGCGCTCGCCAAGAAGTAAGGCTCACTTTCAGACAGCACATTTTGGGAAATCGTTTATGAGTTCAGTGTTCAGGGGGATTTATGGATAGATTCAGAGTTTTGGATATAAGTCGAGCTGCAAGGTCCCAACAGTCCTAAATGATCTCATCCTAGATCATCTGCCCCTCCGATCATCCTCCGTCTAAAGCTGTCGTCTCAGTTTCCCTACATGTCCACCCTGTCTTTGCTTCCCTCTGGTTTGCTCACAGCTGATATTAAATAAGGAAAATAGCAGAATTGTCTGTTTTTAGCTTTCTAAGTGTGAGAACATGCTTCTTTACATTCAACTACATCCTTCATCAGTACGTTTAAATTGTTGGATGGACAAACAAAAGCATTACACACGTCTTCATTATGTAACCATGGCTGAAATGGAAATGCCAACAGGAGCATTCACTGTCCTCCTGCCCTTCTGCTGAACAGCACATGGAGATATCATCTGAATTTCAGGAGCG